TGGATATTCATGCCATTTGGAGGCTGTCTTCTGGCTGCATTGTTGCTATTAGAAATAGTACTCCGACAATATTTTATATTTTTAAGCTGTTAAAGCTATCCCTAAATGTACTTCCTCTTTTTCCGCTGAAGGAATATAAGTTAAGGGGAAGGGAACAGAAATGTTAGTGGATGCCATCTCTGTTCCTCATGCCACTGTCTTTTTCCTACGTCTCATCTTCCTGTCCAACGCACATGCACACGCGCGCACACACACACACACACACACACACACACACACACGATCTCCATCTGTTGGGAATGTTCTTCCTCTACCTTCTGCTGGGGAACCTCACTTTTTATCTCCCCAAGTTCCCCATCCCATCATTATGGTAGGTCAAGGACTCCTCCTCCACAGTTCTATGGAACCTTCTACATCCTGCAATGTATTGGTTATCTTTCTCTATTCCTCCCCCTGCAGGGATGAGAAGGGACTCACGGTGGATCCTCAGCACCTGCCTTCATGGTCTACACCCAACAGGTCTGGTGACACACCCCGCAGCCTGAGCTGCATGCCCTCCAGTGCCTTCCATCTCCTTCCCTCTCAGTCTGTGTGGATAATGAAAAACATCAGAGCAAAGGACGAGCTGTACAGACGAAGAGCATTTCAGGAAGATTAAAATAACACGTGACACCATCGGTGGCCAGTGCCTCCTTTTGGTCACATTTCTGGGGGCTGCTCTGGTCCTGGTAGCAGCCTGCTTGTTTTCTGGGGTTTTCACCTGACACTTGCCTGAGCGCTTTCAGCCAGGTGGCTCTGATACAGCTAGTCTGGTTCTACCTCCAGCTGCAGTCCTGAGGAAGAGAGGCAAAATCACGGAAGGATCTGGAAAGTCTGTTTGAAGCAGCCAGTCATTCAGACCCCAGGCCTGAGGCTGGCCTTTGCAATCCAGGAGCTAGATGATCTTGGAGGTCAGCTGACTGGTGCTGGAGAAAAGGGTGGCTGTTACATTTCAGGAAAGAAGAGTGCTCGCTAGTGTTACCCACCCGCCACATTGCTGCTCCCAGACTCAACCAGAGGGAGACTTGGGGGGACGGGGCTGTGAGCCACAGAACCCCTCTCTGGCTTATGAGGCTACTGTACAGTGTGGGTGACTCCAGCAGTGAGGAAGCAGGAGGCAGAGGGGTGGTGGGTTCTTCCTCACATCCTCCTACAGTGACACATACTGACAACCATGGAGGAAAAGTCTTCAAGTCCCATCACTGGTGAGACCTCCATAAATCCAGGACTCCTCCAGCTCCTGCTAGCACTTTCTCTCTGCTGCGTTTCAGTGGGGCCAGCAGTTATCCCGAGGGGAGAGATCTGTGGCGATTGCAATACCTCCCACGCCTGACTTGCAAATTTCCCACACAAAACATTAGTTTCATTCTTTGCTTCTTTCAAGGACAAATACCCCTAGGAGATGTGCAAAAGCCTTGAATGATTCAGTGAATTTTTTCTCTAGAGTAGATTGAACAAAGGGAGATGGGGGCCTAATTAGGGCCTGGGAGAAGCTCCCCCAATTAGCACATGCTTCTCTCTCTCTCTCTCTCTCTCTCTCTCTCTCTCTCTCTCTCTCTCTCTCTCTCT